TTAAACCTTCATTAACTTCTTGAAGAGATTATGCAGCTTTTAGGTGGGAGGGGAGGGTTAAAAAAAGAAGGAAAAGTAAAAGCAACAGCAGCGACTGCCACTGCTGCCACCCCCACACATCCACTGCTAGAGTTGCATATCACCCAGATCTCCACCCAGCTTTGTGCTCCCTCTCCCTCTCCCCCTTCCCTATTCTAGAAGTAGATAGGAAACTGGACGAACTACCTTCAGACTGCTAATCAGCAGCCTGGTTGTTGCTTTCAGAGTCATCTGCAAAATCTATCTTAGAGCTCTCACTAATTTTTCAAGGGTAAATGCATTGAATAAGGACGTTAAAAATGTTCTAAGCGAATTGTAAATGGCATGTTGGTAGAAATGCTAGCTCAAACTTTCTATGGGCAATTCAAAGATCTCAACAAGCAGACCGGCGAGGTTAAGTAGGACATTTAGGTCCAAACTAATGTATGAGATAAGAGAAGGCTGGCACAAATGATAGAAAGGAGGCAGTTTTATTGATTGAAGATTCAGTATAAATCATTCCTATGACATGGTTATTTATATAATCACACATGATTGCATTGTAGAGACCCCTTCCTCTATGTTCTTTTAGCACCCTTTGCTGAATCCGATTACCATGCTCATACTCAGTATTGTACCTATTCATCTTCTCTACTACATTTTAAGATTTCTGAGGGCAAAGATTGTATCTTTTTCTCACTTTCTTTCTTCCTTTTTCTCTTTCTCTCTCTCTCTCTCTCTCTCTCTCTCTCTCTCTCTCTCCCTTTCTTTATCCATAAGACAAACATAATACCTAACCCATTGTAGGAACTTGATGTCAACTATCAAAATGAAGTGGACTATAGCTTTTAACTATAAAGCTAAATATCATTTATTTATACCAAAATGAAGTTGTTTGAAGACAGCAATACTACTTGTATTATTTTGAGATAAAGATATATGAGATGGTACAGTGATTAAGGATGATGAGTGCTCTGGAATTAGACTGCCTTGGTGCTGGTCCTGCTTCTGCCACTTACTTGAGTGAACAATCCTGATCAATTTCTTTAGGCCTTTCTATATCTCGGTTTACACATCTATAAGCAGCACCTACTTCATAGGGCTATTTTGAGAATTAAATGAAGTAATACAGATAAGGTACTTAAATAGGTCTGGCACAGGGTAAGCACTCAATATATTTTAATCATATTGTTAGTAGCAGTAGTACTAAAATCATGATAATGATGACAACTCTCTAATTTAAGTTTTAAGGCAGTGACAGGCTGAAAGACAATATTTGCAATATATAAAATAGATGAAGAATTAACATATGGAATATACAAAGAACTTGAAAATTCAATTTCAGGAAATAACACTAAAATGAGTAGAAGAAATAAAAGGCAAGTCATTGCAGTAGAAACTCAGATAGCCAACAAACACATAATCCCAAACTTATTAATAATTAGGAAAATGCAAAGTAAAATCCATGAAATAATATTTCTTCCCTATCAGGTTGGCAGAATTTTTAGTCTGATAATATCAAATGTTGTTAAATACCTAGAATGATAAGAACTCTCATACACAGGTAGCAGAAGTATAAATTGGAACAAACACCTTGGGGCAAATTTAGCAATATTTATTAAAATTGAATATGTGTCTATCCAAGAATCTGGTGGTTTTCACACCAGAGCTATTCGAGGGGTTCACAAGCATAGTTTTACTGGACTGACTGAGGAGTCCACCTGTGTTCACAAAAGCCTTTTCCTATTCATCCCAAATCTGATTTCAGGGTATTGCTCCTGAGTTAAAAACCTTTGGTAACCAATCAAAAGAGTAATGTCCTTTAATGATCACTTAGGGCACCCTGAAGACTTTAGTCTTCCAGTCTATCCTGTATTACACACGTTTCTGATAAGAGCAAAGCTCTGTGTTAAAATGGAATATTCAGTTATATGGTAGCATGGGGTGGAAGCGATAACAATGTTTATTTAACCATTTTGCCTCTATTATTTCCAGACTAATGTTAAAAACTGCAACTCTATTGGTGGTGGTGGTGGTGGTGGTGGTGGTGGTGGTGGTGGTGGTGGGGACAAATAGTAGGTGAAATATTTTTAATACTCCATGACTTTTTTCATGTATGTAGGTTTAGGCAATTTTGTTAGGCTATCCTCCAAGTTTATGCCTAGAATGTGTCATTAGCTGGAAAGAAAGGCACCTTTGAATAGTCAGGAGTATGTGTTAGTGACTCAGCTTTTTAAATGCACCTAAAATGTTTTTGCAGAACTACCTACTTACTCAAGGTAAGTTGGATAAAATCCACAAATAAAACATGTTCATAATTTATGATTTGAGGTGTGCTCCTCAATAAAGCAGTTAAAGTGAACATTATAAAATCATATTATTAAACATCTATTCCAGTTGAAGTTAATTCTCATCTAATTTTATATATAAAACAATACTTTCTACTCCTATTAAAAAAAAATTAAAATTATATGCTTGCTTGTATGCCAATGCGTTTTAGCAATAGGTAGCTTTCTTTTATTTTAAATACTAAGAAAATTTTATCCTTAGGTCTAGAAACTAATGACATTATAAAATTTATACTTCATTCTAATTTAATTATTTCCCATAGAAGAAAACCAACAATCAATATATGCACACAACCACATGAGCCAAAGAAATACCATGGTTTTTATCACACATCTCACTTCACAAATAATTTGCTATTTCAGCTAGATAGTACACTAGATAATTATAAATAACGAGCAACAAAATCTCAATTCATTATCTTGTTTGCATAACTCATTATAAAGTAAATAAATTAATTATATCTACATTATTTGAATCTCTTTACAATATGCATTATGAAATTTATTTCTTAGTAGTTTTAGTAGTATTTAATATTTATTTGATATTAAATTCAAATTAAATTCAAGGAATATTTAATGAGATTTTTGACCACTATTTACCTATTACCATTTATTTGAATTAAAAATGAAGTTAAACGCTTTGTGTCAGAAAATAAGTCTTATTTTGCTTATAGGTTGAACAAACGATATCAGTTTTTGTTAATACAGAGAGGATATCTTTATAAATTAAATGAGATAAATCTGCAGCTTCAAGGTTTTGATAAAAATATATTTTAAAACATAAAATAAATATTTTTATCAGTAATAAAATTAACAATATTTCTATTTTTCAGCTATCACAGACACTATTGATGTCACACTGCATATTCTAAATGGCCTATCTCTGAGTTCACAGCACCTTCCAGTCTTTAGGGCCCAAGTCTTTCTGTTTCTCTGCCTAAGGAGGGCTCTCTCTGGTACTCAATTATGTACAGAGGCAGGTAATGAAAGTACATAGATTTCCAACTTCCTCGTCCTTTGGCGGGACAATTCTGAGGTGTATTCTACATGATACTTGGAAAGTCCCCATTGGGATACAGTTTCTGGGTTCAACTCTCACATAAACTTCCTGAACCCAAGACCTACCTCATTTTAGAGTTTGTTTCTGGGAGAATCCAAACTAAGAAACCAATCTGACATATATCAAGTGCTTAAGTGAAAGAGCAATGGGTATAACTAAGAATTATTCAATAAGTCTAGGTATACCTTCCAGAACTTGAGACTGTGACTCTCATAATTGACTAACAGATGTTTTCCATGTCAGGTGGTTTTCAACTTTTACCAATTTAAAGAAATTAATAGAATTTTTAGCAGAGAGAACACTAAAGATAATTTTTAATGATAAATTATTACATGATGGCTGGCATATAATTTAGATCCAATTTAAGAACTGAATAAAATTGTTATAATACTTTTTATTCTCATTTTTTAGCACCATAAATAAGTTTTCTCAGCCGTTACTTCTATATAAAAAAAAGGTGGGGGACAAGAATAAAATCAATGCAGAGACCTGTACTATTCTAGCTTTAATCCATTCATCAATGGATAACATGAAATAATTGGAGGAAGTACCGTCCTTATCATTTCAAGAGAAGCATTTTCAATGAAATTTTATTTTTATGGTAAATAACAAAATAAAAATTATTTTATAATTTTTTTGTCTTGATGAATTGTGTAACAATAACAATTACAACAACTAATCTAGAAGAAAGTTTAAACACAGCTTTATGATCCCAGGAAAGAAGCATATTTTAAAATTTTAATTTTCATCCACAATTTGTCAACAAAAAAGTTTAATAGGGTGATCATAAAAAGGAACCGTCTGGCATAAATATATCGCATGAAGATAAAATTCTGTGGGAGAATTGGAATGGAAAGAAGAAAAAAGAAAGATATAAAATTTCCATAGGAAATTATGCATGCATTTTTCTAATAGATTATGATTATTGAATCACATAGTTATGATATTTAGATTCCTTTGAATACACTTAAAAGAATAAACATTTTATTTTAAAATGTCAGTATTTATAAAATACCAGAAATTTTATCTTTAGAACTGTTTTAACCTATGGTTTAAATTGGTAAACGTCAATGTTAAACTGTATGAGGGGACAGTTTTTTCAAATTCTTTTAAGGATTATACAAGATATAAGTTTGACAATGTATAGGTTAAATTGTGTTCATCCAAAATTCATGTATTGAAGTCCTAACCCCAGTACCTCAGAATGTAACTTTATTTGGTGAAAGAGCCTTTACAGAGGTAACCAAATTAAAATGAGCTCATTAGGGTGAGTCTTCATCCAGTATGGCTGGTGTCCTTATAAAAAGGGAAACTTGAACACAGAGACAGACAGAGAAAAGGCAATATGAAACAGTTTAGGGAGAAGATAGCTGTCTACAAGCCAAGGAAAGAGGCCTGGAACATATTCTCCCTCATAATCCTCAAAAGGAACCATCTCTACTAACACCTTGATCTCAGACTTCCAGCCTTCTGAACTGTAAGAAATAAATTTCTGTTGTTTAAGCAACCCAGCCTGTGGTACTTTCTTTTTCCTTTTTTTATTATTAAAAATTATTGGAGTGCTTGGTTTGGCAGCATATACTAAAATTCATATACTAAAACTGGAATGATACAGAGAAGATTAGTATGGGACTTGTGCAAGGATGACATGCACATCTGTGAAGTGTTCCATATTTTTCAAAATAATGGTTATAAGGATACTCAATTAACTTCAGGGGAGAATGGAAGAGCTCAATGAGAATCTCAACAGAGAGATAGTAAGCATAAAAAAAGGATATAGAAGCCATAAAAAAAGATAGAAATGAAGAATACAGTGACTGAAATAAAAAATACACTAGAAGGATTCAACAGTAGATTGGATGAAGCAGAAGATCTAATCCACGAACTAAAAGACAAGGTAGCAGAAAACACCCAATCGGAACAGCAAAAAGAAAAAAGAATTTTTTAAAATGAGGATAGTCTAAGTCTATTGTTACATCACGAAGTGTAACAATATCTACCCCATAGGAATACCTGAAGGAGGAGAGAGAGAGCAATGTAATGCGAATATATTTGAAGAAATAATGACATAACTTCTCTAACCTGGCAAAGAAATTAAACATACAAGTTCAGGAAGCACAAAGAGTCCCAAACAAGAGGAATTCAAACAGACCTACACCAAGACACATCATAATTAAAATGCCAAAGTTCAAAGACAAAGAGGGAATCTTAGAGGAGCAGGAGATAGATTGGATTACACATGGTGGAGTGAGAGACATCCTCAGATGTCTCAGATGTCCCTTGAAACAACAATAAGCTGAACATCTAAAACTGAACAAAAAACACTCAAACTGCACACCAGCAAGTCTGAGTGTGGGATCTGTGCATAAGAGCTGCCACAGGTCAGAACTCCAGATGTTGGGCTGTGGACTGGGAGTAATAAAGAAGCTGCCTCTCTTAGCTGGAGCTTCCTGAAGGAGGAGGGGGAGGGGAGAAGGAGTGGCGACAGATCTGAACAGTCCTGCCTGAGAGTGCTGTGAGCTCCACGTGGCCAGTGGCAGTGCCAAGTCATCAGAGCAGAAGGCAGAGAAACAGGGATGGCAGAAAAGTGGGCACGACAGAGAAACGAGAGTTAATTTCTACCAGCCACCATTGCAAAACCAAGGCTGAGCCACAGCCTCCATCCCTCAATCCAGAGGGCCCCTCCCCACATACCCTTTGAGACCGATCACTGCGGAGCCCAAGGGGAATCTGAGCAAACGCTACCGAAATTGTCGCTAATACTAACAGGGACTGAGAATGAAGGTAGCGAGCGTGATTAGACATCTATAAGAGAAAAAAAGACATTATTAAGACTATATAAAGCAGAGATCCAAGAGGCTTAGATGTTACCTACTGGAAACCAAAAGAAAAACACCTTCTTTGCAAAAGGCTAGGGACCATTATATAATAACTCTTCTTTCTGGGGGAAAAAAGCAGAACACACTTCCATTAATGCCCAGGCAGAGAAATACTTCATTAAATACCATGAACAACCAAGATGACAAGGCATCTCGAGGAAAAAAGAGAAAAATCTCCAGAAAATAAGCTTATAAACAAAGAAATATGCGACTTAAATGACAGAGAATTTATGATGGTACTTCTGAAAAAACTCAGTGAGATCCGAAATGAATCATATCAACAATTTCATGAATTGAAAAAACAACTAGATGAGCAGAATGAGTTCTTTAGCAAGGAGAATGAAACCCTTAAAAAAGAAACACACAGACACACAGACACACACACACACACACACACACACACACACACACACACACACACTGCAAGAGTTGAGTGGAAAATGAAATAACAAGCTTGGGAAATAGAGTTGACCAAATGCAGGAAAGGATCAGTGATATAGAAGACAGAAATTTAGAAATATATCAGGAGGAAGAAGAGAAGAGATGAAGAATGAAAAATAATGAAAGAGAAATTCAAGAACTAGCTGATACCACCAGGAGAGGAAGCATAAGAATAATGAGAATTCTCAAAGGGAAGGAAAAGTAACAGGGATTAGAAAGCATTTTCAGACAAATAGTTGATGAAAATTTCTCAAATCTAAAAAATGAGCTGGAACTTGGAATTCAAGAAGTCAGTAGAACATCCAATTATCTCAACAAAAAGGCCTTCACCAACACACATTGTATTAAAATGATAAAAAATCATGACAAAGAGAATTCTCAGGGCAGCCAGAGAAAAGAAGATGGTAACCTATAAAGGAAAATCCATTAGATTATCATCGGACTTCTCAGTACAAACCTTACAAGTCAGAAAGGAAAGGAATCAAATATTCAAACTATTAAATAAAAGGAACTACCAGCCAAGAATAATTCAGCTAAGCTCTCCTTTAGATATGAAAGAGAAATAAAAACCTTTCCAGACATACAAAAATTGAGGGAATTCTCCACAACCAGGCCTACACTATAGGAAATACTGAAATGGGTCAGCTCACCTAAAACGAAATGACCAAAAAAAAAAAAAAAAAAAACATATA